CATTCAGTTGATAATCATTACAGTTCTTAGATCTTTTCCCCATCTCTCCTGAATCTTCTCTTAATGAATTTTGTTTTTTCTTTTTTAAAAAAGAGTAACTTGAAAATTGTCGGATTAAATATTGTTATTTTCACTCCTTTCCCTAACTCTTTAAAATCATTTTACGTTTGTTTCTTGTTGCCATCTCTGAATTTGCCAAGTCTTTTTTTCCCTTCACGTCTTCATTCAATATAGTTAATAGCAGCCTCGGACCATTCTTGGTATTATCTCACTCAATATTTCCTTCAATATGAAAATGTGTTGAAAAATTTTTGTCAAGCTTCTATGCATCCAACTAAAAATTATGCCGTCAGCCCACACTCAATAAACTTCACATTGGAATAGGATTAATTAAATCCCTCCAGATTTATCTACCAGATGCAACAGCTTTGGCTGTATTTGAAAATTCTGAGTGTATTGTTTAAAATAAATTAAATAGGCATATTTAGTTCTATTTCAGGAACTAGATATGTGCATTTAATTTCTTTAAAACAATATTCAAAAGCATATTGTTGATTCTTTTTTTAGTGGATTCTACTTTTTGTGTAAATCTCCAAGCATAGTTATTGGTATATGACAGGGGTAGGCAATCTTGGCTCTTTTATGATTCGTGGACTTCAACTCCCAGAATTCCTGAGCCAGCTATGCTGAGGGGAAAGGGAGAGGTTTCTAAGCTGAGCCATGCTGGCTCAGGAATTCTGGGAGTTGAGGTCCACCAGTCATAAAAGAGCCAAGGTTGCCTACCCCTGGTCTAGGAGGCTCACCACTTAGAACAGGAGGACTTAGGACAGGGATAGGCAACCTCGGCTCTTTTCTGACTCGTGGACTTCAACTCCCAGAATTCCTGAGCCAGCCATGCTGAGGGGAAAGGGAGAGGTTGCCAAGCTGAGCCATGCTGGCTCAGGAATTCTGGGAGTTGAAGTCCACCAGTCATAAAAGAGCCAAGGTTGCCTACCCCGGTATATGACATTATATGAATATAATTAATAAATAAATAATAAAATGAAACGAAAAGATTTGGCTGTATACATTTTCATGTTTTTATTTTATCTATTTGAAAAAAAATAGACTACGATATCTATCTTGCTGCCCTGTTTCATCTATTTTCTGGCAAAAATGGAAGAATGCAGAAATACAAGGATGTTTAAAAGCTAAGAGTCTGAGGGGGGAAAAAAGCCTAATGGCTTTTCAAGTTGATCTGGAAGATTAATTCATTTTTTTTTCTGGAAAGTTATAGGGTGGAACTATGTTTTGGTGATTCTGTGATGGAAACCAACTGTTACCATCCCTGTAATAATCTCCAAGAAAAAAATGAGGTCATTCCTTTCTAATTCCCAGAAGCAACAGGGAAAAAAAAGAGATCTCCACAAGGTGCCCACATAAAGATTTAGTATATTCATTTGTAAAAAAAATTAACTTTCAACATATCCACTTTTGGGGGGATAAAAAAAATTAGCATGACTTTCCAAACATGTTCTACAGTTGTATTTGACTTACTACACTGATATTTGTTATCCTGGCATTTTATGCAACATCCATTTCATTTAAATCTTCAGTAAATTATCTATAGACCAGGGGTGTCAAACTGCTGGCCTGCGGACCGGATGCATCACGAAGAAACCGCGCCCATCCCATTGCTAGGAATGGGGAAAAAGCTCCGATACGTCGTGTGATGTCACATGACGTTGCGAGTTTGACATGTCTGGTATAGATTGTCTATATCAGAGGGCACCAAGGACCAGTTCCGTGGAGAAAGGTTTTTCCACGGACTGGAGAGTGTGTGGTTTTGTGTCCTGATACATCCCACGGATGGAGCTTTGCTTGTTTGTGTGGTCCGGTTGCTGACATGCCGTGGCGCGGTACCGGTCCACAGACCAGGGGTTGGGGACCTCTGGTCTATATCTTATATAGAAGTACAATTACTAAAAATGAAAACCAGAGTAGGAGTTTATAGTATAATACAGTATTTTTTTTTAAATTCCAGAACCACAAAGAAAACTTAATACTAAAAGTAGGGGTTTCCAAATAGTCATGGTAAAAAAATAATGTTATTGAGGAAATGTGTGTGTGTTGTGGTAAACTGTTTCCGTTACTTTAGAAAAAAGTGTGTTAAATCTGACAGGGTGACAAGGCATATTCAGAATTGCCCCGTTTCTTCAGAGATCAGTCCAGATTTTTTTTTTTGGTATATGCCATGTGGACTAATCCACAAGATTAGAAAATATAATACCCGCTTTTTGAATGCGGTGCCTAAAATAGGATGAAATAGAACTGTAAGCCTTAAAGACTATAAATGTTTCTTATAAAGATTATATAAAAAAAGAAGTGATTTGATTTGATTTTGATTTGATTTTATTAAATTTATACCCCGCCCTTCTCCCGGAGGACTCAGGGCGGCTTACAGCCAGTTTAAAACAATGATATAATACAATACAAAATTTAAAAAGATTAAAAATAACTATTTAAATTTGGCCGCTTCTACTAAAAATTTAATTTAAAACCCCTTTAAAATACCCCTAGGCCAG